AAAACATATTTAAAAAAAGGATGAAATATATAAAACAATCTGTCAAAGTTCCAAAGAAACTGGTCTCAAAACTAACGCAAAGCATTTTGTAAGTTGATTTCTTATTCAAAACACTTAAAGTAATCTTCTTCCGAATCAAAATTTGGAAACGCCTTTTTCATAGTGATCGTCCGGAATTCCTTTTAGTATTACAGCCGAAGTCTTTTGGATGACAGATTTAGCATCGAAACGATTTTCTTTCGCAAAGTGTTGGATGAAAGTCATAGTTGTCATAGTTTATGGAACCAATATCTTCGAATACAAGTGTACATATTAATAGTAATTATATACCAAAACTTTTTGTTTTAATTTAGGCAAATAAACAGTCATGAACTACAAACTATTAAAAATGATGGATAGTATTTTAGCAGGTTTCCCATATTGTTTTCTGTACAATACTTTTTTAAATAATTATTAAGTTATTGTTATAATCAAAGTTTGTTTTTAAACTAATAACCTTAGAAATGAAAAGAATTGCTGGGGTTCTTGTATATATATAATTAGTAGGTGTTTCTAGGTATAATCCATCGCTCAAAAAGCCAAAAGTTGTCCTATCCAAAATGGAGGATATTTTTTGTCGTCAGTAGACAATTTCATTACAAAATTTTTTGTCATGTGTGATAAATTTTTAACTCATTTCTACTATTACAACGAATTTATAAAAGTTTTAAAATTGCAGTTGCCAAATTTGGAACTCAAAAACTGCAGCAGTTCATGAAAAAATTATGTACAAATTTTGGCAACAAATATTTAGTCAATAAAATAAATTCGGAGCAATTTTCTGAATCAAATCATAAATGTTGTATCTTATAACATTTTCTTAATGTATTTTGGAGGATTTATTTCACTAAAATTATAAGTGGGAACACACCAAACTTTATTTGGTTCCCACTCGAGCCAACAATTTGTAGTCTATTGACATTGACTTTGTCCGATTAATATTTAAATTTATATTTTTGTTGTTGGTGTTAAGTTTCAATAGAACCGTTTCGATACTACCGCCTACGGAGTTCATTGGTCTCTTTTTGATAGAAGGCTATTAATAGAAGACTATTTGATAGAAGGCGAATTAAGAAGAATATTGAGTAGACTTATGTTTATTTCAAAGTTAAGAGTCTGAATAAAACTGCTGTGATGACAATTAAAATAGTCATATTTTAATCTCACTAGCATAATTAATTTTGTTTGTTGTGATAATTATAGGAACATATCCTCTAAACTAACATAATAACACAGATAACTTCATCAGGAACTTCTTTTTATATGCTATTCATACTCCTTATTTTAACTGCAGTTTGTTACAATTTTCTCTATACGCAAATATATAAGCATTGATATAAAGTATGATATAAAGTATTAGAAATATTATTATGATTTATTCAGAAGAACGTCACTACACAGCGACGGATCTACACAGTGGCATCATTATTAATTTATCAAATAACTTTGTTAGATATATTCATAGAATAGAAATAGAATACTAATGTAGTATTACTTTTATTTTTTTGTTTCCCACTGTAGAATAATAATTATATCATAAACTTCACTCTTTTTTAAAAGTATTTCCACTTTATTAAAGAATGATACCTCTCAATATTGTCTTGAAAAACTTCGGATCACATCATTGAAAAATGAAATGCGAAAATAGAATTCTTTGAAAGATATTTTATAATTTTTACAAACACTGCTCTTCAAGCAGCGTTCTTGTAGCTAACTAAGATCCCCTAGAAACTGAGTTCCTGCATGTTTTATCTAAGTCATGCATACTCTGTAAAGTGAAGAAACAGATATACTGCACTTTCTGTACAAAATTATTAAAATACTGATTATATCTTCAAGCATAGTTACCTAATCAACAGTAACTGGTCAATGATCACATAATAACATTGATATGTTTACGGGAAATCTTACTAACATCGATAGAAGTTATCATATTCAAGTGGGCCCAATTTGCAGGCAGAATTCTATAAATCATCAACTAAGAAAGAGTAACTGATCTACAATTTGTACTGCACAACACATGTAGGAATTGGTTATAAAGAGCAGAGATCTTATATTATTGTAATAGATGTGAATTGGAGGAACCTCTCTCCAATTTTTAAACACCTTACTTAAAATTTCAGTTAACTTTGCATAGTATAGTAAGTTTAATATATTAAAGTAAGTTCAGTTGAACTAATTTCTTAAAATATATGTTTCAGTAGACTTACTGCTATATAATAAAAAAGAAGTTCTATTAAAAAATATTATACTAAGTTAAGAAAAATATGGATAAGATTTATATTTTTTCAAACAAACATTTTTCCTCTTTTTTAAATTTTCAACACATAAAGCCTTTTTTGGTGAAAATTTTCTAAGAAAATGATTTACAACTAGTATTCCAAACTTAAGTCAAAAAGTATATATTATAAACTGACAACTGCAGTCAAAGTTAATTGTTAGCAACAATTATTTTCCTTTTTTTGTTATTAAATAAATAAATGTTAGAGAATTTTCGACAATAGTGAATTGCAACAACAAAATTTTTATTTATTCATTTTTTTTTTGAATTTCTGGCTGACCATACAGCTGTTTCGGGTATTGCCAAATACCGATCGTTAGTGGTATTCGAATTATTTCTTATATTTATTCATAACTTATCATAAATTAAAACTTATCATAATTAAAATTAAATTTAAAAAATAAATAATAGTAAATATTATTGAGTTTGTACAAACTATCTGCATAATCGTTAAAAAGGCTGAGTTTATTTAGTTGCCGTGACAAGTGTTTGGATTGGTCTTTCAAATTTTGTTTATATTCTTATTTTCAGTCTATATTTGTTATAGTTATAGAGTGAAGATGAAATGTTTATAAGTAAATCTTGTATATAGTTGAATACCCAAAACTGCAAAAATTCACTTCTGAAATTGTTATATTGCGGAATTGTGTTGCATTGTAGCACTTTTAACACGTAAACATCATTTTAAAGTAGAGGTAGAGAACTATTGATAGTCGGCACCATCTAGTTTTAATATAACCTAATTATATGACTTATATAGCTTATCAAATATAAAAAATATATAAGGTATTGTACTATATACAAATGTAATCAATATTCCATCAATTTGGTTGTCATAATATTGTTTATAAATAATGTTCCACCTTGCAATTAATTAATATGTTATACATTTCCTACAGCGATAAGCAATTAAAAAATTATTAAAATAGTCTCATTTGATTTATTTAATTTCACAAAATAATTTGATACTCCTCATGTAGTCAGCTAAAGGTTATCAAAGTTGAAATGAAATAATTTCTGAATAGTATTAATTTTCCCAAACATATTTGATAGATGACAACTGACAACTCTTCGATAAATGCACATATAGTAAATAGAGTTCTCTCTAATGAATGTCAAAATGAATGGGGCAGCTCATGTTTCATGTCTGATCAGAGTTCGAGTGCATTAAGGATTTAATTTATTACAATTTCTATACTCGTAAATTTATAAATTGGGGAAAGAGTAATTTTATTATTTTAATAGTTTCACTAAAGAAATCTTAGTTTGGTGATGAATACGAAATACTTAAAAATAATTTAATTACATTTTATAAAAAGAGAAACCTTTCACGTAGCATGGAAATATTTATAGGCAAATTTCATCAAAGGTATTGACGAAAAACATTTTTATAATATAACCGTATTGCAAATTTAAATATATTTTTTTAAATATTTAAATTTAGTATACTGCAGCTTTAACAAATATTCAATGTAATTAATATCATACTAAAACTTACCAAACATATTGTTTCTAAATTACAAATGTTACATAAAAAATATATATAACGAAAGGCCTTGATATTATATCTGCAATTATATCGAGAGGTTACCGATTGTGATAAATATATGTCGTATAACATGATTTTATTATTAGCTTTTTATTACATATAATTTGCTCAATCAATATAATGAAGCCTTAGTAATATAATTAAGTCTTAGTAAAACCTCATATCCCTAGTTAAAGAGCTCATTGTAGGTCCGAAGTCACTAATAACTCACCCAATATCAATATTCCAGCCTAACAAAACTTTAAATTCCTTTCAGCTAAGCAATTGCGAAGTTCCAAAGACACATATCATATATTAGTTATTATCATTATTCCATTCTGATGAAAATTGAAGTGCTTTTATTCACCTTATATCATTATTCCAACCTTACAAGACTTTAAGTCCCTTTTAGCTAAGCAACTGCTAAGTTCCGAAGGCAGCTCATTCCATTCTTAAATATGAATTCCTTTTAGTTAATGATTTCCTAAGTTTCGATATAATACAATGAATATCATTATTCCATTTTACCGAACTTCAAATTCCGTCTAATCGAAAAGTGCAATTCACCGCAAAAGTCATAGAAAATAAATATATTAGAATGAAAGCATTTCAGTCGATTTCAAGTCCATGGGACAGGCGGTGGATCTAAAACATCTAAAACACTTCTCTATGAATTCACTCTATCTTCATCAAATACAAGACCTTTCACAGCTTTATGTATACGGATATTTGCTGCACTTAGTTTATCAATTGACGATATTATACTACCCAAT